GCCTACCTTCGAGTACTCGACACTGCTGGAATTATACATACACACTTAGTCGCAGCTCGCACTAGGGTTACACCAACAAAGCCTCTCACCATACCGCGAGTGGAGCTTTCCGGAGCAGTTCTAGCTACCAAACTCGCCACATGAATCCAGCAGCAACTTCACGTGCCTCAGATGCGGGTCACAGTGTACTACTGGTCAGACGCCATGATCGTGCTTCACTGGATATATGGAGATCCATGCAGGTGGAAGACTTTTGTAGCCAAACGAATTGGCAGCATCCAAGAGGTCAGCTCTGCTTCACAGTGGGGTCATGTGTCTACGCAGGACAACCCTGCGGATTGTGCAACGCGCGGTTTAACCCCACTACAGCTCGCGCAGGATAAGCTCTGGTGGAGCGGCCCAGACTGGTTGCAGGAACCCGAAGATCATTGGCCCAAGGTAACTCTTACTTCTCCAGATCCGAGCACAATCTGCGAGGAACAGGCAGCAAAAGTTATCCACGCTCACACCTGTGCATCCACTGATTCCTTTGTTGAGTCATTTTCGTCATACAGTCGACTTGTATTTTCCACAGCATTCATTAATCGCTTTATCCATAATACTCGCTGCAAAAGGGAGGCTCGGCTTTCCGGACCAACATTTTCTCTGGGCTCTCCAACGGTTCATTGGACGCCGCGGTTTTGTGGGGCACATGTACAGTGACTGCGGCACAAATTTTTTAGCAGCAGATAAATCCCTACAGTTGTGGTCTAACGAGTTCCGGCAGGAAATCAACCAGACAGTCGTCCCAGAACTCACAAAGCGCTATATTCAGTGGCACTTTAACCCCCCACACAGCCCAAACTTCGGAGGACTTTGGGAGGCTAACGTCAAAGCCGTAAAGTCTCATCTTCATCGTTCCTTCAAAGGATACCCAATGACTTATGAACAATTATCAACCGTTCTTATCCAGATCGAGGCCTGTCTTAACTCTCGGCCATTATGCCCGTTAACCGCGGATATTAACGATCTGCAAGTATTGACTCCAGCTCATTTTCTCATCGGAGACTCCATGCAATCGCTTCCTACCCCCAGTGACAAGGACAAGTCGCTCAACACACAGTTCATGGAGGGACAACGGATCCTACGCCAGTTCTGGAAAAGGTGGAGCTCAGATTGGTTGTCTCACCTTCAGGCACGCCCTAAGTGGAGACAAGAGGAAGAAAACCTACAGGTCAATGACCTAGTTATTATCAAGGACGACAGGACAGGTCCAACCGATTGGAAACTAGGTCGTGTTATAGAATTACACCCTGGAGCCGATGGGATGGTACGAGTTGCAACAATCTATACAGGTTCGGGTACATATAAGCGATCAGTATCCAAGATCTGCAGATTACACATCCCGAATTACACGGAAGCTAAAGTCGAGGAAGCTAATCTTGAACAATAGTGATACACGCATTTGATCTCACATCCATACCACAGCAAACATTTCACCTGTTTCTTTCAGTTACCATTAGAAGGATGTCTTAATGCTGGACCCAGCATTGCGGGGCGGCATGTACGGTCATTTTCGTTGTCATAATGTTCATTACGTAATGTTAGTGCATACCACAACCCTACAATCGATACCTGCTTGATGTCTATCGATCTCGAGACCCCGGTCCCTTTGGGAAGCGGGACATCTCTAAGCTTCTTCCAATTATTACGACTGAAACACATTTTGTTATACTGCCAACATTGTTTGATCTATAAAATCAATTCAAATTAAATTCAGTGACATACTTGAAACAAACCCTGTGTTTTTATGAAACGGCAACAGCAAAGTCCCCATAGCAGACTTCTGCTAATCATTGACTCCCGTATTCTATCGGCGCAGTCACAACAATTATTACTTATTAATAATTGTTATTACCTATAAATCATTCTTACAAGGGTAAAGAAAGTGGGTAAGAAAGAAAGGAGATAAAGAAAGTGGTCACATAGTGACGGTGCATAAAAAACAAAAACAAAACTACGATAGAGCAGTAGAACATACAAAAATATTTTTTGCACTGCTCTGCTCTCGCTCTAGATTTTTGGCTACGGCTACGAGGAGAACAGAATATTTTTTTCTGCTATTGCTATAGCTATAGCTTTAAACTTCTCGCTCTTAAAGCTCGGAGCAGAGCAGACAATATACATTTATCTACTACTGCAATAGCAGAGCAATATTTCTATGCATCTCGCTGCTAAGGAGTAGTAAATGCAAACCCTAGTGCCAGTCATGATATCTTCATTTCGAAGTAGAAATTTGTTTTAGCTGTCATCTCTGGTCAATTAAACTTGGAAACCAACGTTGAAGCGACTCGATTCTCAGAGTTAATTTCAACTAACTTGTCTGCTGAGAGTCAATTTTTTTTGCGTACAAGTTCAATTATTGTGAAATTATGTATTTGAAACATTGATAAATCGTTAAACGATACTTTATTATCATTTTATAATTTCAGATTGTAAATTTTAGATAATAGGCCATTTGCGATATGCGAGTTGTTCCTTGGTTAATCAATCAACCTTGGTTATTAACGTCGTTTTGACGTGACTCAAAAGTTGAAGCATCTTGAACTTAGCAACGTGTATACGTCACGTCAAACGCCCTTCTTTTTCCCCCAGAGTTTGACCTGCTTGTTCCTTGACAATCACGCGGGCGAAGAGATCGGAGAAGGGATAGACAAGGAAAGAAGTGGGGCAAGGAAGGACTGGTGACTCGCTGTACACGCAGGTTCCGAAGTTCACGCCAGTGCTCCGATCGAAACAATATGCTTCGGTATGCTGGACACGCAGCGACGAAGACAGAGCTGAAACACCCGCTACATATATAAGTGCTTCCCATCCAAAATCTGCACCTAATTATTTTTTCCTGTCACCAATTCATCCAAAAACTGAGCCTTTGCCACTTACGCCTTCGTTTCAGGCGAAAGAAATCAAAAAAGTTAATATGTAGCTAAACCAAAAAAAGCTAAAAGCTAAAGCGAATTTCCTAACTCCGCTATAGAAGTCATCTGTAAACTATTCAATTGGATCATTAATCTTGGCTTCATCCCAAAGAGGTGATAGAGAAATCTATAATTATAATGGTACCCAAGCTAGGACCACACTATTCAATTACGCATACCATCGAGCGAATAAATAAAATAAAATTAGAAATAGCTTTCAAGCATCGATAATACTTTAGCGCTACTCACGTCGTAGCTGGTTGCAGACTAGTAGAAGGGTTTTGGGGTTTTTTTTTTTCAATGCGGAAGTGAAAAAGAATATGTTGCGTTTTTTCAAGATTATTTAAATATTTTTACAACCCCTCGCATTCTAAAAAATTGCATTAGGTATAGGAAGGTATTTTGAAAAATTTTTGTGCCAAACTATTCCAGATTTTTTGAAGAGTTATAACCGTTTATATACACATCCTGTAACGAACAGATATTGTGCGGAGGTGGCATCTTTGGATTATCGGGTGAAAATCATGGTTTTACGTGGTTTCGGACCAGCTCTCTTCTATCTCCCTGGTGCTTGCCACGGTAATCATAAATTGTACCAAAATAAAGCGTGCAAGACCTCAAGCACTGCGACGGTCAAGCAAAGAGCTCAAGCACTGCAAAAATGAAACAAAGTCTTCTCTTAAGGGGACCTTCACCTGAATTTTTTTGAAAAAATCGATTTTTTTTTTTACATAAAATGAAAGTTTTATATGTCTAGAATATATGTACCAAAGGATATTTCGATACGACGCTTATTTCTTGAGCTAGAGCGTGTCAAACATACCCATGATAACAAGAAAGCTATCTCAAGGCAAAGTTTCTAAAAACTTTAAACGCGTTTTTCTCGAAACCATGTTTTCTGAACTCATGTCAAGCACAGGGCTCGTTCTATTGATCCGATTTCCTTTATTCAAGAACCTTTTTTACTTTTTTGTATGGCTTATACCTAAAATTGACATGAAAAATTGTTTATTTATAATTGTTAAACAAGATCAAAATAAAAAAAAAAAAAGGGAAAAAATGTCAATTTTTTTTCAAACGCCCATAAAATTGGTTTATTTTCACCAAAATTGATTGTCGTTAGGTATAAGCCATAGGAAATTTCATAAATTTTAATAATTTATATACATTTCTAATTTCAGTTCACTACCAGAGGCCCGACACTTGACAAAGCGGAAAAAACGAGGTCGACGAGATCCGCCATTTTGAAGGCGCCATTTTGAATTTCCTAAATATCGAATACTTTTTTTATCGTAAATAAACAACGAATCAAAGTTCAAAAGCTCAAGTTCGTATGTCTTTTCATTTTCCTGCAATCCATTCTCAAATTTTGCTTCATTTTCGGCCAAATCCAGGTGAAGGTCCCCTTAACGAATAATATTAGAACACATACTGCTCCCCGGGAACGCCAAAGGATCAAGCTAGCGACAAGGCGGGTTTTCTTTACGCCACTACAAATTCCATGTTTCAAAACAATTCCCATTCTTTAGAAGACACAATCTGCAGCTTGCATGTCCCATTGTATGTTATAGCGCCCCATACCATTACACCTTTTTCACGGCTATGGTGATGAGACAAAAAAGGTTCTTCTTTTCATATTGTTGTGACAAATGCCGTTCATGGGCGTAATGTCATAGTTGAGCACAGTTCTGCTCGGGGGTTTTAAATCCAAACGACTAGACACAATTATGCATTGAACTTCATTTTATTTACTTGCTTAATTTATGTTGATTAGTTTTACAATTATTTAAATGGGTCGGCCTTTATCACGCGTGGTTCCCTCTGACCTTCACTACTCCGATCGCCTTGCTTGCTCTATGATTCTTCTTATAATAATAATTTTACTAGGGGAGAGACCAGACAAGGAAAAGCTTTGCAAAGATTACAGAAATCTGGGTGGATTCTAAGCTCGCTGAAGATGGAGCGATAAATCGAAAAGATAAATAACGCCCGTACATGCCGCCCCCGGAATGCTGGGATCAGCATGATATAGCTTCAATTGTGTTATTGGACTTCTTCAGGTTTCGGAGTAGGATTGGTGGATATTGGCAATGGACATAACTTGGACAGGGATCTCTTATAAGTTCCAGAAACGGTTTTCAGTGAGGCGACGCGAACTAGTCCATCTTCTCCAGGATGTAAATCGATAATTCGAGCCATCTTCCATTCGTTTGGAGGGAGCCGGTCATCCTTGATTACAACTAGATCGTCAATTTGCAGATTCGTTCGTTCTTGGCGCCATTTCGGACGTGCTTGTAGATGTGAAAGCCAATCGGCGCTCCATCGATGCCAAAATTGTCTCAGGAGTCGTTGACCGTCGACGAAGCGTGCGTTGATGGACTTGTCTGAAAGAGAAGGTTCCGGAGGTGCCAATAAAGGTCCTCCTATAAGGAAATGCCCGGGAGTAAGTGGGGACAAATCGTTTGGATCTGCTGATAAGGGGCAGAGTGGACGTGAGTTTAAACATGATTCGATTTGGGTGAGCACCGTGGATAGTTCTTCATAGGTCATAGCAGTGAGTTTGAAGGAACGATACAGATGAGTTTTGACGGCCTTTACGTTCGCCTCCCACAGTCCCCCAAAATTAGGACTGTGCGGTGGGTTGAAATGCCATTGGATTCCGCGAGCCGTAAGAGTGGGTGCGATGTCCGTGTCGATGGAATTTCGAAACTCCTTTTGCCAGATGCGAAGAGAATTGTCTGCTCCGATGAAATTGGTTCCTCCATCGCTGTATAGATGCTTGCACAAACCTCTACGTCCAATAAAGCGTTGAAGAGCCCAAAGGAAGTGTTGAGTAGATAGCCCTGTGACCGCTTCTAGATGTATCGCCTTGGTTGCTAAACATATAAACACTGCGATATATGCCTTGTATGTGTGATGCCCACGGAATCTGGATGCTTTCAAGTAAAAGGCGCCCGTGTAGTCGACGCCAGTGGCTTCAAAGGCTCGACCAGGTGGGTTGACTCGATGTAGTGGCAGATCACCCATTAACTGTGAGGCAGGCTTTGGGCGATGTTTGAAGCATTGGACACATTGTCGTAGAATTCTTTTTACTGCTTGTTTCCCATTGACTATCCAGAATGTGTGCCGAATAGTTGCTAAGGTGAGCTCGGTGCCTCCATGAAGAGTGTTCAGGTGCGCATTTTTGATTACGAGGTCAGTAAAATGATGCACTTTGGGGATAATGATCGGATTTTTCTGTGCTTGAGACAGTTGTTGAGCGTTCTTCAGTCGGCCTTTGAGTCGCAGAATTCCAAAGTCGTCTAAAAACGGGCAAAGAGCGCTGAGGGCACTGTGCCTGGATAGAGATTTTCGTGCCAGGACTCGGCTGATCTCTTGAGAAAAGGCTTCTTTCTGAACCATCCTTACGATTTTATGTAGAGCTTCTCGTAATTCTGGTACTCGAATCGCGCCCACATGACGAAGTTCTTGTGGGTGGCGTAAGTTATGCAGATACCTTTGGATGTAAGCCATAACAAATAACAATTTGTTATATGATGAGTAAGAGGTTAGGATTGAGTCGCCCAGTGAACAAACATGTGCTGTGATGTTGGTTGGTTGTCTTCTTTCTTCGTGATGTTGGTCAGGGGGAGGGGAGCACGTGTTCTTCGGCCACCGATTTTCATCCTGCCGTAGCCAATCGGGACCGAACCACCAGATGTCATGCCTGGCTAGTTGGTGAGGAGTAAGACCCCTTGAAGCGCAATCGGCTGGGTTTTCTCCCGAAGGTACGTGCTGCCATTGGGTTGTAGTACTTAGTTCCAAAATCTTGCCAATTCGGTTGGAGACGAAAGTCTTCCAACGGGTCGGATTTCCTTTAATCCAATATAGAACGATTGATGCATCAGTCCAGAAATTAACTGACATGGGAATTCCGGTGGATGAAAACTGCGTCAGTACCCATTTAGCCAGTTGTGCAGCCAACACTGCACCAGAGAGTTCGATTCGAGGTATAGTTAGCGGCTTCGTGGGCGTGACTCGACTCCGTGCTGTCAATAGGGCCGTGCTCACTCTCCCCGATGGATATTGTATTCGGAGATAAACACAGGCTGCGTAAGCTTGCGAGGAGCCGTCACAAAAGACGTGTAGTTGGTGTGACTGTGGCTCACCGTTCTGGTGGCCAAGCCACCGAGGTATTTTCAACTGTTCAATGTTTGGTAAATGATGTCGGAATTCTTCACATCGGGCTTGAAGTATTGGGGGCAACGGGCCGTCCCAATCGAGAGCGGTTTGGGTTTTGTCGGAGGTCTCGGGTCGCCACTGCCAGATGTCCTTTAGAATACTCTTGGCAGCAGTAGTGACAGGAACTATAAACCCTAATGGATCATAGAGGCGAGCGACTACTGAAAGAAAGGAACGTTTAGTAAAGGAGGCAGGAAGGTCAAATCGAACCTTGAAGCTATATAAATCCTCGTGTGGGCTCCAATAAAGTCCCAGAGTTTTAATAGTCTCCTGGAAATTTACTTCTACATGTCTCTTTTGAGCCATGTGCTGGTCAGGAATTCCGGATAAGATCTGTGGATGATTTGATGCCCATTTCCTGAGTTCCATTCCAGCCGATTTTAGTGTAGCAATAAGTTGATTTCGTATTTCCAATGCTCCATGAACAGTATTGTGACCAGTTTGGACGTCGTCGACATATCCTTCATTTAATAAGACTGGAGTTGCTAAGGGGTAGCGATGTTGTTCGTCGTGAGCGAGTTGACGGATTACGCGTATGGCTGTATACGGTGCTGATGCAGTCCCAAAGGTGACAGTATTTAGGCTGTACTCGGCTATTTCGTTTTGATCATTCCTCCATAAGATGCGTTGAAATTGAGCATCCTCCTGGTGCATGTCGATACAGCGATACATTCGTTGGATATCTGCTGCAAACACGTAACGATGTAGCCTCCATTTCATGATGACTCCTCCTAAATCGTTTTGTAGCGGTGGGCCGATGCACAATATGTCGTTAAGGGATTTTCCGTTCGAAGTGGTACATGATGCATCGTACACCACCCGAACTTTGGTCGTTGTACTGTCCTCCTTTATCACGGCGTGGTGTGGGAGAGTACATGATGAGAAATACTGTTGACCTCTTGGAGTGATCATTTGATGTCGAGTTTCTGCGGTAGTGACTTTGGAGAGTTGCTTCAGATCAAAATATTCCTTAATGGTGGAGTGATATTGTTGTTTAAGTGTGTCGTTTCTGTTTAGCCGACGTTCTAAGAGATGGAATCGATTGAGTGCGATTTGGTGAGACTTTCCGATGACTTGTTCTTTATCAAATTCAGTTTTTAACGGAAGCCGGACCAGGTATTTTCCATTGGGTTGTCGGGTGCAGGTACGCTGGAAGTGATCCTCACACCATTGTTCTTCTGCCGTTAAGGCCCTCTCAGAGCTGATTTGATCGAGATCGAAGAAACCCTTTACCAGTGCATCCAGATTAGTCTGATGGCAACGAATGGTTACCACATTTGCCCTTGTTTCATTGCTATGGCCAAACACGATCCAACCCAATTGAGTGAGTTGAGCAATAGGTTGATTTGAAGCTCCTTTCCGTAAATCTGGCAGCAACAAATATGGTATTAGATCTACTCCAAATAACGCGTCGATGCGGCCTGGCCTGGTAAAGGTGGGATCGGCCAAGTGTAATCCCTGAAGATGCTGACAAGTGTCCACGTTGACATTGCTTCTTGGTAAATGAGAGGTTATCGAGTTGAGGACATACGCTGGTCGCACCAGATGGTGAAATTGAGGGTCCGTACATGAGCTTATGGAGAACTCTGTACTAAATCTACAGATGTTCTTTGAGTTATCACCGACCCCGGTGATCTGTGCTGTGACTCGGTGACGTGGAAGTCCCAGCAACTGAGCGGCACGTTCTGTGATTAACGTGCCCTCAGAGCCATGATCGATCAAGGCTCGAATAACGGCAGTTTGTCCGGTGCTGTTATTATGTAGTTGTACTAGAGCTGTGGCCAGCAAAATAGATCGAGTTGACTGCGCGGCAGTGGCCATCAGCACTGTAGTGGAATCGGAAGGATGAGCAAGATCGGAGCTCTCGCTTGCTGCGTTCTGACTGATCGGGGATGGGCTGGTATTCGTCGTGGGGAAGTGAAGCAGGGTATGGTGACGATGTCCACATTGTAAACAATTCTTGTTACTGCCACACTGCGACAAGGGATGATGGATGCTGAGGCAATTTAGACATGCCTTTGTATGGTCAATGATTCGTTTGCGGGCAAAGCAATCCTTGGACAAAAAATCAGGACACCGCCGCAAAATGTGTTGCCCCTTACAGTGTACGCAAGAGATGGAACCGCTGGTTCCAGTCGTGGTGTGGAACGTGCTGCCCTTGTAGAAGCCGGAACCCTTTTGCTTGGGATTTTGGCGTTGATAATTTGCGGATTTGTTGATCGTAGAGTTGTGCGTGGGCTGTGAACATTTCCGGTTCTCAATGATGTTCATGCTGACGAGGCGATTGTTGAGGAAGGTTTCCAAGTCGAGGAAACTCGGAATGTCGCTGGAGTTTCCCAAGCAATGCTCCCAGGCTTGTACAGTTGTCGTTGGTAATCTAGCGATCAAATGATGGACTATCCATTGCGTGCTAGAATGGATATTCGTTTTGAGACGATTGAACTCGTTGATGCATACGTTGGTTACGTTCAGCATATGTTTGATCTCTGATGAGCTTTCCCTTGAGATAAAGGGTAAGTCGTAGAGGGCGTTCATGTGGTGCATGAATTGTAAACGGGGGTTATCATAGCGTTTGATGATGAGATCCCATGCGATTGTGTAGGCGCCATCTGTTAGTTCCATTTGGTGTACATCTTGGTCCTGCTCTTTAGGCAGTGCTTGCTTGAGGAAATGGAATCGCTGAATATTTGACAACGCCTGGTTCTGGTGAATGAGTTGCATAAACAGATCATGGAAAGCTGGCCAATCTGTATACTTTCCGGAAAAGTTAGGTACTGGCAACTTTGGAAGTTGGACTGCCGCACCAGGGCCGAGCATTTTAGGAACAGGCGTCGCTTGTTGCTCGGCGCACGCTGGTAGCTGACTGGGGAAAAGTGTTTCGGACTCCGTAGATATTAAACAGAACGCTGTGATAAATTCCTCTTCGAACTGGTCCGCTAAATTATCCACGAAGTAAGGGTGTGTGGGGTAGCCAGCGCTTACAAACTCTTGATGATTCTTGTTGAATTGCTGGCTTATTAAGTTGAGTTTGGAAAGGCGCAGTTGGAAATAGGGCTTAGTTTTCCGAGACGTGCTGTCCTTCTTGAAGTTAACTTGGAGTTGGTTGAGCTGATTGTGAAGATCTTTCTGGAGCGCAAACAAGCTGTCGGCGTTGCCACCCTTTGCCATTGTTTCAGACTCTGCACTGGAAGTGCTCGCTGGCTTGGGCTTGCTCATTTTGCGTATGCACTCACACTTACGTACGTATCTTCCAAAGTGAGAGAGCGACAATGGGCAAGCGTTTGCGCGACACGTGCGATGCAAAGTTTGATTCCGTTATTTTCGCTTTTTCTTTGTCGAAGAGCATACAGTAGTTGAAAAGGAGAATAATGGTTCCGTGATGAGATTAGGTTTCCATTATCGATTTTGATGGAAATGTTGGAGATGATTATGGATTGTGGAGTCGTGTGTGGATTGTTCCCCTCATGGGCCACCAAAAATGTTGTGACAAATGCCGTTCATGGGCGTAATGTCATAGTTGAGCACAGTTCTGCTCGGGGGTTTTAAATCCAAACGACTAGACACAATTATGCATTGAACTTCATTTTATTTACTTGCTTAATTTATGTTGATTAGTTTTACAATTATTTAAATGGGTCGGCCTTTATCACGCGTGGTTCCCTCTGACCTTCACTACTCCGATCGCCTTGCTTGCTCTATGATTCTTCTTATAATAATAATTTTACTAGGGGAGAGACCAGACAAGGAAAAGCTTTGCAAAGATTACAGAAATCTGGGTGGATTCTAAGCTCGCTGAAGATGGAGCGATAAATCGAAAAGATAAATAACGCCCGTACACATATATCATAAAAAAATATAAAAAACCATCAGCTACATCCAAGTTAAAACGCTTTTCAACCGAAAACAACCCTATCGTAAAGTTCATTTTTTTTTTTTTTTTTTTTGAACGTTGCTCTTATTTCTTAAATCTTCTCTTTGCGAGTCTAACAAGAGGTGTATCAAATCTTATATTTTTAACTTAACTAACAGTCATATTGACTGATACGGAGTTAGACGGCCCTAAAAATCGATTGCTGGGTTGGGAGGTCGTTGCGTCTCAGGCGGGATACGCTAGAAACCCGAGTCAATCCCCGAGCGAGAAAATTCCCGGGTGCGAAGACAGTTTTTCTTTTCATGACTCT